CTCTTCTAAATGAATATGGCTGTTTGTCAAAGTCCTCATGTAGAGAGCAAGCCAACATGACATATGCCATTGAACAGAATTCTTTTCTTTCCTTTGTAGTCATTCTGTCTCTATACCATGCATGGATCAGTGGGTGCACAGTGTATTCACCATCATGTGAGCCCAGTCTGATGAAGGAAAAAGATATCAATAACTGAATCCCCTCCTTGAAGGTAAAATTATTCCAAGAACCAGCATCATTAAGAGAAAGCAGTCTGTGGTCCAGTTTAGCACTTGCCAGTGGTAGGGTAGACTTTCCTGGTAGAAAGCCAAGCCATCTCTTTTTTTCCTTCTTTGTCTGTCCTTTTTGCATAGCTGCATTAAAGAAAATATTTTCACTAATACCACCATGGTGGAAAAATGAAAATATTGCCAGGATGAGAATTGCATTCTTAGCTGCTCTAGCCTTATAAAGATCACCAGACTGAGTCCTCTGTTGTATTTCCTTGTATAACAATTCCCAAGAACCATAGACAGTTCGATTATATTTAGATGCCCCTTTGAACTCTGGATGGGATAACAATATCTTTCGCTGCTCAGAATATATCCCTAGATAGTCTTTGATACTGATGGCCCCTGAACGAATAATGGCACCAGCCTGATCAATAGCCAGAGGAAGACAGAAGAACTCTTTCACAATTTTAGAAGCTTCTTTTACGAGATCAGATGACATATCTAAGCAACTTGCTTTCAAAAGCAGTATAATGGCATCACTTTCCGCCATCTCTTTCACTTCAAGACAGTTTGTTGGTGAGGTCAGACATTGCATAGCAGAGTTGCGACTAGTTATCAAGATATTTCCACTTAGCCCAGGTGGAAAATATTGCTCCAGCTCCTCTGGAGTCAAGACATCAGCATTGTCAAAAACCACGACATAATTTTCTCTGAGAGAGCCAATCCACAAGAGAGCAGACTCAGGCGAGCCATCTAAACCACTAGACTGAGCTTCAGGAAGATGACAGATACCCTTTAGTCCCTGAGTGATGGTTGAAGTAGAGGACGCGTCAATCCAGAAAACATGGGAAAAGCTGGAAATTTAAATTTTAGCAACGAGGATCAATGAACGAACATCGACGCCCTCACTAATCAGACATCTCTTCGATGAACCGTAAGCAGATTTGAGTCTTTCCAATACCGCCCATCCCATGCAGGAGAAAGTACTTTCTGGTCCGAGGTTGATTATTGGCGCCGATAAAATGATCCTTGAGTTTCGCAATGACTTCGGTACGGCCTGTGAATCGAGTGCTCGAGTTCGGCTTTAGAGGGATCACTGCATCGGACGTCGCTCTGTTGCTATAATTGTAATTTATCTGCAGAAGATCACGACGTCGATCAGCTTCGAAAGCAGGTACCACGAGGCTTTCACACACCGTAGTAGTCGCATTGAGCGTGCTGCCGCTCACTACAACGTTCTCAGATCCCTGCAAGATGTTTGTTCTGTTCATGTTGTAGCGCGAGATATGGGAGGAATGTGGCTGGGGAAAGGAAAGAGAAAACAATGTTGCGCTCGGAGACCCCCAAGGCAATATTACGTTTTCATGACTGACAGTTTGACATGTTTCGTGACTTGCCGAGCGCGCGTTGTAGTCACCTGTCAAGAGCTTATCACAAATGTCAGCCTCGCTGCACCGCCGCACGGAAGTGAGCATTTGTAAGTCACTTACAGTCAAACGACGCTTTCGAACATTGAAGCACACCCCTCGATTCAGTCTTTCTAAAAATACAACAATGATCTTACTTTCCTTTCACCCTCGCATCCACAGGATTCCCGTCGAAACACACTCTCGTCTTGTTCAACTTAAAAGTCATCCTCGCCCTCTCCGTCCTCTTCCCAATCAACGGTCTCCAGCGCAGCCTCGCCCTCCTCGAACAGCTTATCCAGCCCCGACAGCTTTTCTAGATATTTCTGGTCGTTGAATGCCTTGAGGAGCATGTCGAAGCCTTCTTTCTCATACGCTTGGATTACCTATCAAAAGATGACATGAGTTATGTGCATCAAGATGGAAAGGAAGAAAGGCGAGGATGGGGAAAAGAAAGAGAAAGCACATACCGTTTCGCTACATCCAGTACACTTATCATACGCAGCCCCCTTAAGCAGTAAATTGCGGAATTGGGCCAGGAATCCGCGGAGCTGGTGTGGTACGAGACCCAGAACGCTCCCGCCGTGTTCGGCGTAGGATTGAGAGCTGGGGAGGTCTTGGTTTGGAGGTGGAGCGGGCGCATGTATTCTAAAATTAGTTGAGAAGAAGATGGCGTTAGTTAACGAAAAGGAAGGGTTGAAGAAGAGGGGTGACTTACCCTTGTGGATGCTGCAAGACGGACGCGAGTAGCTCAACGGCTGTGGCTGCTGCGATGGGTGCGAGGCCTGGCCGGGTGACGGTACACATTTGGTCGAGGGTCTGATCCGTCAAGGACTAGATGGTGTGTTAGCTATGAAGTGGTATAGACGAGTTCGAGGGTGTACGTACGTCGGAGGGAGCGACGATGTCATTGCAATAATAACACCCCAAACGGTCTGTCTGTGCATCTTTAGGCGTGGAGGATGCGCGGGCGCCGTGCCGCATGACGAGGAATGTGTCGAATCCTAGTGCAGCGTTGAGAACGATCTGGTGTTGGTGGGGTCTGTGATTAAGTAGGGATGTGTGCAATCAACTGGACTGACCTTGCCCTTGGCAGCTCCAAGGACTGTGGGCAGCCATCGACTTTCTCTAGAGTCCATGAGCAGGAATACGGCGTCGTGTTCGTCGAAGAGTTGTTCGAGCTTCTGGACGACGGCTTTGGCTTCTGCAAGAGATGCGGCGGTGGGCGGGATAGGATGGCCTGGCATCGGTATGGAGAGAGTGTGTCCTGTTGCATCCTAAATACAATGAGGTGACTTTTAGAGAAGATGAGGAAACGACGTACGATTCCGGGGAATATCTTCTTCAATCTGGCAGCCGCACATTCGGCTTTAGGTTTGCCTCCGTCCAAACAGTCCTCGAATTCATAGAGTGGTTGTCGGACGGGGTTGGAGAACGAGACGCGGGAGGAGTCGACGAAGGTGATTTTGCGAATGCCCCACCCCTGTTAGTGTTGGAGAACATAAGTGGAGGTCCTATGTTTTGGGAAAGGGAAAACATACCATTAAAGCTCGGCCGACGTAGCATCCGAGTGTGCCAGCACCTAGGAGAAGGCACTTCGTTCCCGATATCTTCTCGAGGTCAAGACTGGGCAAGATTCTCCATCGCATGAGCTTGAGGTTCAGGTCGACGGCTTGAGCAGCCAATCTGAGGTGGGTGTGTTATAACATTGTTGTCGGAAGAAGCCAAATGAGAAAAAACCTTGTAGGATCCATCATAGGTGCGAGATCCGCAACGCGAGGTCCAAGCTTCCCTTGTGTGTTTTTCTCCCATCCAACAGCGGTTGGTCGACCTTCAATGGGGTCTCCTGCGATTTGAACGACTCCGAAGCGGCTCTTCCATTCGGAGGATGGGAGTTCGGAGTCGCGCCAGCAGAGAACACGGATGGAGGAGGTCTTGGTTGGGTAGAGAGCACGGAGGTATGCGAGGAGGTTGCGGAGTGGCCAGCCGGGATTCTGGGGGTTGGCGGACGGGTCGATGAAGGCGACGGTGTGCTGTGGGGTGATCGTGAGTGGGGAAGGAGTTTGTGAAGGAATTGCAACATACTGAGGTTGACGAGGATGTGAAGAAAGATTCATACGACTCTACAGGCGCGATTGATGTTGTACCTGCTTCTTCGCGAACGAGAAAGAAGGGAGATGGGGCGGTTTGAGCTCGAATATGTCCGTGTATTTCTGCCAACTGAAAGAACAGGTTAGACGGAATTCAGTAGAGTTGATAATGGGACGGACCTGTTCAGGCTTGAACTCCTCTGTTGCGCTCTTCCAGCCCTCCTCCGCGATCTCCCATGCCGGCTTTGATACGAAGGCTGGAAAGGCAAACCAATAGTAATATTTGTATTTTTTCAAATCAGCAAAGGTGATGAGAAGAAATCGATTGAGCAGAGACGAATCGCGAGTTGATAGGATGTGATCCCATATCTAAGTGAGAGTTGAGCGAGGATCAAGATGAAAGATGAAGGTAGACTACATGCTGAGCCTCTTGGTTAAACAAAGCGGTCTTATCTGCAGTCTTGAACTCTTCGATCGTGTTGAAGTTCTTGAACGTTCCTGTTGCGAGGACTGATCCAGAAGGCGGTCTGGGAAAAGCTAGTCAAGATTTGTTCATATAGCGCGTATCTGGTGCGTGAAGGGCGCTCACTTGTGGTCATCTTCAAATGATTCCGACCCAACGCTCAGATTACATCCCAGAGCGACTTCTTGTCGAGTTTCTCGATCTTTGACTGTTCTGCCAATAGAGTACGATGCTGATACGGGGATATGGTCATCTGATAATTTTAGAACATCAATCTTGAGGTCTGTAAGCTTGTGCCAGAACGATGGCTGTACAAGAGAAGAGAATGGCGCGAATTGGACGATGGGCATCGCGTCGGTCGTTGAAGAGAGGTTGCTGAGACCCGTAAGCTGACCAAACACGGTTGTCACGTTGTGTTACGCTACCAGGTGTGACACCACAGAAAAAACGTTTATCGAACAAACTTTCAAAATGACCGTTCTTCAAATCGTCGCCCCGCCTCTGCCAGCGTCGTACAAAACACCGAGCGCACCCTCCGGCTCACGTATTGCTCGTAAGTTGTTTTCCGGCTTACGGTAACCTCGACTGATGAATACAACCCTTTGTTCAGCACCCCATCCCTCAGGACACCGCACACTCCTCCCCGTCGGTCCTGCGTATCTGACTCATTTGCGTCTAACTCTTCACCATGCTCACTCGTTTTCTGCTTTGGACAAACATCTCGAGGCTGAGCGCGACCGTCTGTTTGCGCTCAATGGCGATGCTTCCGCCGCTGAAGATGATCTTGGTGTTGGGGATGAGGAAGAGTCTGCGGAGTTGTTGAGTTTGGATCCAAAAGAGTGGAAGGTATTTCTTTCTTTTGTGATGAAATGATTTGTGCTAAAGCTTTTCTAGAAACAAGACCATTACGCTGTCCTTGGTCTTTCTCACCTGCGATATAAAGCATCACCTGCACAAATCAAAATTGCTCGTAAGCTTCTTTCTTTTGATCGTATAATTAACACTCTCTGACTGTTTGGTAGATCGTAAGAAGGTACTGAAGCACCACCCGGACAAAAAAGCCTCAGGGCCTAACGCTGCACCCACCACTACTTCGTCCCTCTTCCTCAACGGGGTGAACCAAAACACAAACGACGATGCGTTCTTCAAGTGCATCCAAAAGGCACACGAGGTCCTCACCAACTCGGAGAAACGCCGCCAGTTTGATTCGGTTGACCCGGTGTTCATGGACCTTGAAGAAGAGATGCCTACGGCGGCTGAGTTCAAGGTGAGTTTGGGTGTATATGAGATCAATTGATTAGCGACTGATGGTGATTGGTGGGCTCAGAATAACAAGGACCTGGACTTTTTCAAAACTTTTACGAACGTATTTGAACTTTACGCTCGGTTCTCGAAAACTCAACCTGTACCTGGCCTCGGGAACGTTGATTCGACCAAAGAGGAGGTTGAAGGGTTTTATGACTTTTGGTACAACTTCGATAGCTGGAGAAGCTTCGAGTGGATGGACAAGGAGGTTAACGAGGGTAGTGATAGGTATGTTGGTTGCCTATGCCCGTCAGAACTTGGAATCGGTGCTGATGCTTCTACCTCCCTTTCAGTCGCGATGATAAACGATATACCGAGAAGAAGAACAAGTCCGAACGTGCACGGAGGAAAAAGGAAGATACCACTAGACTCAGATCGTTGGTCGATCTTTGCCTAAGGTCAGATCAAATCATGTCTGGTACTCGTTCTTAGACTGACTGATGTCGCTCTACTACTCCAGCGTCGACCCACGTATCAAGCGCATCAAACAACAAGAAAAGGAGGCTCGCGATGCAAAGAAACGTGGGACTGCGCCTAGTGGTGTTCCTGCGAAGAAGTCGAAGAAGGAGGAAGAGGAGGAGAAGAAAAAGAAGGAGGAGGAGGCGAAGCAGAAGGAGGAAGAGGAGAAGGTTTGTGTTTCTTGTTTTTTTCTTGGCTGGCGAATGGTTTCTGACGGACTTGCGTATAGCTTGCCCGTGCGGAGGCGAAGAAGCAGAAAGCTGCTGCTGCGAATGCGGCAAAGAAGGCTAGGAGGCAGCAGAGGGCTACTGAGGACGCTGAGTAGGATTGTGTTACTACTTTTCTGTAGCTAGCTGGAGTTTACTTTTTGATTCGTTGTGGATGAAAAATTGATTCGCACACGGTTTCATAACATATCATTGTCCTCCACCACCACCACTGACGGCGCGATACGAAACCGCCTCCACTGGGCATTGAACTGCTGAGTTGCAATTCATATCGAGCTTACCATGAATTCGAATGCTCCAGTATCTTCCCAAAGCACAAGTTCTCCAACCCACTCCGCCATCTGCTCCGTCAACACTCGTAACGCATCAGCATCAGCATCCACCGATGTTCTTGATCACTGGGGAGATCCCAATCATCACTGCACAACGCTGGGTCATGCCCTGCCCGTCTCAGTCGAGCTCGCTATTGCGTGTGGCCACGACAGGATTCTAGACGCAACTTACCTCTCTTTAAAAGCATCCACTATTCCGGCTCAAACCTGCCAGACTAGCTGCTTGATGTCAATTGGAAGTCCAAGGAGATCATCAACCGAGATAACTCACTCTCTTTGACCCCCCACATACCCTCGAATTTTGGATATGGGCGTTCCAGCAACCCCCAGCACACCGTCTTGCCCCAGGGCCAGCCCGTCTGCTTTAAACTGCTTCTCTTCTACGCAAAGGTGTTTCGATCGTATGGGCCGCCCTTTGGCCACCTGGATGCTGCGATGAGTAGGCACACAGGGTGCCAGGAGTTGTTGAAGAGGCTGAGGGCGGTGAAGCATGCGTTGTACGCCATTAATCATAGGGAGGAAATGGTTGGGCGGACGACGAAACAATTGGCTTCAGAAGATGTTGGGGTTCTTGGTAGGTCGCTGTCTAGGACTGTGGCGACGTTGGCAACAAACACCGCAAATGACGGATACGAGGTCGACAGTCCCCAGCAACACGTCTATACGGCCAGGTCACCAGCGTTTTTTCTCAACGAAAGGTACTCTGTGCGTCCGTGTCGAGTCTGCATTTTATATTCAAATATTGTGCGCCTCCTCTCCGTGTTTTTGTGAACCTCAAGGTACTTACCGATCAAATGTAGGAGTCGTTGATAACGTTTGTTACCTTGAACGACTCAAAACTCCAACACCTGCCTAGGTTGTCCTGCCCTCCAATTCAAATTGTCAACCTCACCGGAAGTGCTTGCCCCGTCGCCACTCTCGCTTTGTTTCGGACCGTCGATATCGCAGCTCCATCAGTTCCGACCTCAAGGAGGTCTTAGGCGGATGCTGCAGTTGCCTGGAGGCTACAGTTCGACCTAGTGTTTCGATGCCTTGTGGCGGTATCTGTTGGCGATGATTTAATCGAACGCCGGTCCAATGGATGTGATTGGCTGAGGTCTTTTGAGTTGTGACGTCGCGGTTGCCTGGAAGTACTGGGAGGCCGCGAATTACCAACTCAGGGCGGGAGCGAGGTTGTCTTTCTTCGATGGAATATCGTTGTCATTCTCGCTGATGACGAAGGCGCTGTTTAGACAGGACCAGGGAGGTTTGGTTGGATACAGAAGGTCAGTCTTTTTGTGCTGCATGTCATAACTTCGATCCTAAACTCAAGCAGGGGGTAAAGCATTTCCTCCACCTTATATGTTAAAGTTGCGGTTGTTCACGTTCACTTACTTGTTATCCTTTGTGTGCGAAGTTTGTATGTTCTCCGATGACAGCCACACATGGAAAGTTACGAACCAGAATTTTTGCGTTGATCGTTGATAGAAACCGCTGAATCTGTAGCAACTGGCCTTTGAACCGTTGGTTCGTGGAGAGTTTTTGCACGTGATCGCGTTCAGCTTGACCGGCACTTTCAACAAGGTCACTCGTCGAGATGCTTAAGGAGCCCATTGTGCTTGCCTCTCGCAGACTTGCTGCCCCGAGCTCTCCTCCGCGCAAAAATGTACTTGGCGCGTCCATCAACAGCCACACTATGTCGACAATGCGTGCCTCTCAAAGCGACTCGGTGGCTGGCCGCGCCAATGCTGACCTTCCGTCCAAACTGAACGCGTTGAATCTTGCGGAGAGCGACGACGACTCAGATATTGAGGTATTCGGTCCGTTTCCTGCTTCGAAAACAGAAGGGAAGTGTGTGAGGGCGAATTCCGTGGATATAGGGGGAAAGGCGAGCGACAAACCGTGAGGCTATCATCGTCTCTGCTTGTACTTTTTGCTTAATTCCCCCAGTGTCCACCCATTCTTTGTTTCGTCCGCTGCTATCAAGGCGTCCGCCTCAAGGCCTTCCGTTTTCACAAAGGCAAAACCTACCGAGGTCAAGGTGAAAGCGAAAGCAATATCGGCTCCCAAATCCACAGTACAAGCACCGCGCTCAGCTTCTAACGCTACCTTCCCTGTTACTTCATCCTCTGTTACACCCTCTGCAACCAACACTCGACCAGACGGCCCCACCCGAGACAAGCCAGACTCCACTCAAGCCGGTGAGTTTGACGTTGAAGGACGCCAGGCACCTCTTCCGAAGTACTCGTATCGCGATTATCATCATCCGACACCGACTGTAGTTTATACGCGCCACGAAGAGGAGGCTGATGACCTAGTTCTTGGACTTAAACCAGGGTGTGTACTTTGCCTACTCGTTCAAAGTTCGGAGAATATAAATACATACACGTTAACCAGGCCTGTTTCGCTTGACCTAGAGTGGTGTTTTTATTTCACGAAGAATAAGGGCACCACCACCTTGAACGAGAGGCGCGTTGCTGTAGTCCAGGTCACAGATGTTTGTGGCATGGTCCTTATCATTCAAATTTTTGGGATGCGCCGTATGTCAATTTTCTTGCGAGGTGTTTCAAATGTTCCTCATTACCAGTTCAGGATTTCCCAAAAATCTCCAGGTTAATTTTATACCTGTGACCTGATCGATCAAGTTTGACACTTTTTCACAGTCTTTGATTGAAAATCCCAATGTTCCGAAGATGGGCGTGAATATTTTAAGTATGCCGATGTCTCTATTAAATTTGGTCATGGCTAACACTGCTCCAGATGACGGAAAGAAGTTATTTAGGGACTATGGCATTCTTGCTCAAAGTTTGGTTGAACTGGGAGCTCTTGCCATGGTGGCAGACCCAGCTGCAAAAAGGAGACGAAAAATGGTCAGTCTTGCCAAGGTATGTAGATTATTGTGTTTTTCTTTTCTGCAAAGTCTAAAACTCGTTGTGTCGAAGCTGGTTGAGCAATATTGTGGAAAATTGTTAGAGAAAGGCTCGATTCGGACCGGAAATTGGGAAGCTAAACTAGATCAGGAACAAATTGACTGTAAGTTTCAGTTGCTGATTATTCTTGCTGGAAGTGTTTATAAATTGACCTGAATAAGATGCAGCAAATGATGCACATTCAACTATACAAGTTTACAATGAACTTGTAAAAATGGCAGATGAGATGTCCATCAATTTATGGGATGACAAGCAGACACATACACAGGCTGTAGGGTGGCATAGATCAACTCTCCTGTATGTATTTCTTTGTCCATATTGTGATCGTGCTGACATATTTATATACTAATAGTGCATCAAGGTCAAAACTTGAAGTATCATCCAAGATACTGGCACGCCCTCAACAACTACGTGCCTATCAGTATTGGCATCATCAAAATATGAGTTTGGAAAAAATGTGCATGGCATTGAGTTTGAAGAGTAAAGGGTATGGTCCCCAAATTCCTGGTGAAGATAAGAATTTGAGACCTTCTACTGTCATGTAAGCTCAATTTTCCTCAATGTATGAGATATTTAACCTCATGGTTTAGATCATATATTCTTGGAGCTCTTCAATCAGATTCAACACTTCCATTTCAAATTGATAAGGTAAAAGATTTGTTGCAGATGGAGATCACATCATGGTCTCGTCATCATGATTGGATATTAGATGCATGGGAGGAAAGAGCTTCAAATATACAGTGAAAGTTATCACTTGCTATGTATCTAGTCATATATCTGTATGTCTATTGTTTCAGACTAGACTGTTACAATGAAATATTTCCCAATGTAAGTAATCCTGATTTTGATTGACCCTATTGTAGTTCTACACAGTCACAATGTGCCAATACACTAGGTCTATTCTATAACTTTGCTCCAAATCCTGCAAGTGGGGTATTCAGTGCATCATAGATCTTCTGTGCCAGCCCTCTTGGATTAACCTGAACGACCTGCAAGTTCAATGGAGTTAGCTTCCACCAACAGAAGAGACTAGTGGTACAATTTACAAGATGGCCAGCACCTTCTACTCTTGAAAATGATGCAAGGTTTTCCACACCCCAAACTACATTATCTATAATGTCCATCTTAACTGCAGCTGGTCTGCTATCATCAGCACCTCTGGCATTTTCTTGGAAATTGACAAAACTCACAAGTAATCATCAATGGCACCATAAATCAAGTGCGTTGGCACGGTTCTAACATAGCTTCCCAGCAGCCTGTAACCGCGAGTTAATCCCAAACCATCTCGATAACACGCCTGAATTCAATTTGTTATATTTAGGTCATCATCCCCATGACTTGAACGTCACTAACCGCTTCCTGCGCGCGACTACACTTGAGAGTGACGCCAACCGTCTTACTTGGATAGTCTAGAGTCGGCAGCCCACGCAAACCACATTCCTAAAACGCAGCCTTTAGTAAGTCAGGAATTTGGAAGGACGTATAAACCCACGATGAAGAGCCTCAATACGCGATCATCCCAAGTCGACCACACGCCACGGCTCTTCATGGTCTTGTACGCCTCTTCCTTTGAAGGCCAGGTATCGCGTCGTTTCTCAGCACCGGAAGAAAGCATGTTCCCAGCTGGAGCGGTATATTCCCGTGACATACACATGAGCTCACAAAAGATGACGGAGTGAAATTTGATTTGTGGGTAGTACCCCACAGTCAACATTCTGCAGAGGCGATGTTAACCACGAGCGTACTCGATTGTGGCCCTACTCACAAAGAGACAGCTCCCATGGAATGACCGATACCAACAAGGTTTCGACTTTTGAAGTCGACGTCAACACCTGTTCCAAAGCCAGAGAGGAAAGAGTGTATGCTCCTTGCATAGTCTTCCCACTGAACTGAGTAATAACACGTCAGGAAGTAGTTGCCACACCGATAGAAACTCACAAATGTTCTCGTATCCCCAACTAAGCGTGTTGTCGTTGAGAATAGCAGCATCCCCATGATTGGGAGCGTCAATTGACCAAAATTCTCTAACCTTGACGCCACCCCTGCTCAGCAGTAACTCTTGAAGGTCATCAATGGTTGGTTCCCAGTGCTCTTTGTGAAAGCCGGTGCCATGAGCAAAGATCAAGGTGAGCGCGTCATCGTCGTAGGATACGTCAGGGATCCAGTAACGCTTTGCGGTGATGAGAAAAGGATAATTGGGACGAGGGTCGTAAACATAAGATTTAGAGACCAGCTTTTGCATTGTACTGCGTGGCAGGAGGTAAAGATGTAAGTACCGGCATCGGTCGAGAATGTAACCGTACTACTAAAAATAACTTGCTAACAACTCTTCTTCCTAATTGGCTTACCAACCCGACTCGCACTCTGCCGCCCGAGTTTTTCACTGATCCACCACCCAATATCAACGATGTCCTCCAATCCAATCGTCCCTCCATTTGAGCCCGCAACTTGGTATTTCGAGCCGAGGAGAGCGTACAGCACATCCTCTGTGGCCACGTTCCCCGTTGCACCTGGAGAATAGGGGCACCCACCCAGTCCCCCGACGGACGAGTCTATAGTCCTGACCCCGTGTTCTAGCGCAGTAAGGACATTAGCCACAGCTGTCCCATATGTATCATGAAACTATCAATCTATCAGCCCACGTATAACGCCAACAAAAAGAACCTCACTCACATGGCCCTATAATAAATAATAAAGCATCAGTACCGTATCCTCACAAAACGTACGACTCACAGCTAGCTTCTCAACCCGAACATCCCGCTTAACCTCCTCCAACATCTCCGCAACCTCATGCGGCCGGCCCTTCCCAACCGTATCCCCAAGGCTAACCTCATAGCACCCCATATCCAACAACTCCTTCGCCACCTCCCTCACCCGCTTATAATCCACCCGCCCAGAATACGGACACGCAATAACCACACTCACGTATCCCCTCACCCTCAAACCCCTGTCCTGCGCAGCTTGAGCAACAGGAATCAACTTCTTCAACGATTCCGCGGTGGTGCAGTTGAGGTTGGCTTGATTAAAGGCGTCGGTGGCGGCGGTAAATATGGATATCTCGTCCGTTAGGGTTGGCTGAGTGTCCAGCAGAGCAAATAGATCATCAAGACCTCGCTGGTTTGGTACGAGCACAGAGTAATGCACGCCAGGGAGGTGGTCAATGCCTTTGAGCACCTCCGCGGTGCCCCCCATCTATAGTACCACATGAGCATACTATTTGGGTCGTACAATGCAAGCGCACTTACCTGTGGAACCCACTTTGGACTGACAAAGCTCCCAGCTTCGAGGTTGGTCACCCCAGCTCGGGCGAGGCGGTTGATGAGCTCGACCTTTGTCTCCACGGGTATGATAGCGCCCTTCTCATTCTGCAACCCATCTCTGGCGCCCACCTCTACGATGTTGACAACATGTTTCCTGGAAGAAGGAGCTAGTGTGCCCAGAGTCCGTCTTGAAATGCGCCGTGACAGGAATCGTGTTGAAGAGAGCATCAAGAACCATCATGCATAAGGCCTTCAGGCCTTCAGGACTCCGCCATTTTATGTTTGGACATTATAACACATATAGTTAGAAGCAACCGACAACTTTTATACACAAAAATCTCCAATGAAAGAAAAAATAAATCTGTCCATCTTCAGATCCCAGTTTAACATCAGTTCCGCTTATCCAAGCTCGCTTTCGCCAGTTTGCTCCCAAGATCAGTAGCCACGTCCACCGAAATATCGTCTATCTTCTTCGCCTTCTCAACCTCGTCTGCAGAATGTTGTTGCATGTACGTGATGGACGCATCCTCCATGACTTCCTGTATACCAAGACATAAGCACCAATACAAAAATGATCCAACACCAAAAACGTACCCTCGCAGACTCCTCCTTGTACTTGTGAACGTTCTCCCTGATCAAAGCAGCCTCAGGGTGAGAATGTGCCAAAGAAGCCATCCTATTCATCGCCTTGATGCTGAACGCCGCCTTTCGCCACAACTTCTTGGCGTTGAATGCCTTCTTCACGTTGGGCAGGAGATCCGTCGGCTCGCCATCCGCTCTCGGCACGAAGTGCGGCTCAGTATCTGCCAGCCACTAGAATCCAATCCGTCAGTCGTCCGATATTCACCTGCGCACACCAAAAGGCAAGACACACCTTGTGCTTCAGGCACTCAGCAGCCGTCGGCCTGTTCACGGGATCAATCGTCAGACACTGCTTCACAAAGTCCTTCGCGGTGTCTGAAACACCTTCCCAGTACTCCACAGGCTCGAATTTATAGTCGCCCGCAATGATCGCCTCCATTTCCTGCTGTTGCGAGTCACGGTCGAATGGTGTGTAGCCAGCCAGAAGGAAATAAGTGATGACACCCATCGCCCAGATGTCTACCGGCTTGCTGTGTCCAGCTAAAGTCTAATTAGATCGGCAGTCGACCACAAAAGGGAGAACAACGTACTCTTTTTGAAGATCTCTGGAGCCATGTACTGCCGTCGCGTTTAGGTAAATCAATAGCAAATCAAGACAAAAACACACCCCTGGCGTCCCACAAATCTCAGTCAACATGGTCAACTTTTCCGTATCCATGATCCTGCTCAACCCAAAATCAGCAATCATGATATCGGCCTCTTCAGCCTGCGTTCGGAAGAGCAAGTTCTCCGGCTTTAGATCTAGAATCTAGTCAGATACCACAATTGAAACAAAGAAAGTCAACAAACCTCGATGGACGATACCCTGGTCATGGAGGTATTGTACGGCTTTGATGATCGTCCGAACCAGATCGGCAGCATCGCTGGGCGCGATGTGTCAGATTTTTTACCAACACGAGCGGAAACGGTTAACGTACGCCTCGTAATAGTTCCCCTTTGCACATATCCGATCAAAGAGCTCGCCGCCCGTGCAGAGATCAAAGCAGAGGTAGAGATTGTGAGATGTCTTGCGGTAGTACCAAAATCAGCATTTAGATCTCTGCAAGTTCGCGCGGCATAACCGACCTCGAAATAATCGTGGAGAGTGACGATGTTGCGATGACCGCTGGATATCTTCTTGAGTACTGCGATTTCGTTGCGAACCTATGTAAAGAGAACGGTTTAGTTCATCGATGGACCTTGAGATGAGAGTGGACACACCATATGTTCTCTTCCCTCCATCAACTTTTTGTTAATGACTTTGCAAGCATAATATTTTCCGGTTTGGATGTGGATCGCCTCCTTCACGATAGCGTAGGTTCCATCCACTGCCCAGCGTCTTTCCCGTGCGGTACTGTAGGGATATTTATTCAGCAAATCCAAGAAACTAGGGGGGTGAATACGACCTACCTGGCATGGGACGGTGGTAGGCATTGTGTACTGATTACGGGAGGGAACGGGAGGCTGTTGGACGGTTGGCTGAGGATAAGAGGGATAATGAACACAGCCACTTACAGTCACTTTGTCTTGTCCTGTCTGGTACAGCACTTGACGGTCCTCCTCAACCGCTCCCTTCAGTCCATGTCCCGCAGTCCCCTTTCGACTCTCAGCATCATCATCATCAACAGCTCTTCGTTCAGCTGCCACACGTATCTCCTCTTGCTGTACGCTGCTGGCAATTGAAGTTTTCGAAGACTTGCCAGCAAACGCTGCTGCAAGCTTATCAGCACGGGAGTACCGCTTGAGCCGGTCAATCGTGTTGTTGTCTGCCTTGGGCTGGCTTTGCGTGGACCCCATGGCGCGGAAGGGAGTGTGAAAGGTGAGGTTGTGGATCCGAGAGGCGTTCAATGTCCAACTCCTCTTATAAGGTGACACCGCCACGCGCCTGCGGCATTGCACCCTGACTGGTCTTGGTTATTCTTAGCGTCCCCCACAAGAGCCCACTGCCACCAGAATTATTACTTTGCTGTACATACGCCAGATATAACGTATCTATCAATCATTATGGGGTATATCGTTTACTCATCGGTACTTCTCCTCAAATCTTGAAAAGACAATCGCAGAAAGGGCCTTGACCTCTCTCAAATTCAACAAGCCCTACAACCAACCATTCAGCCCTCACTCCAAAACACCTGGAAAAAAGCACTTACATCAACCAACTCATTAGGAACACCCCTCATCGCCTCCATACTCCACCCCGCAAGGCCGGGTAACAATCCCGCCAACCTAATTCTGACATCTTCCTGCGAACCAATAGAAGTCGCACTGTCCACAAACACTTTTGACTCCAGATGAGCCAACAGCGTCTGCGCAGCTTGATCTAAACACGTCTGGAGAACCAATGAGAAATCAGAAGACGCAAACACCGAGCGCGTCTCTTCAAGGAGGGCGGTAAACGCCGATTCTTCATAATCTATCCGCGTTTGCTGGAAACCACCTTGGATCAATACATGCTGGATCGTTTCAGGTGTCGGTGGGAAGAGGACTGATGCAAAACTAGATTCGGTATCATGAGGGAAATAAATTTTCACTTGAAAAAATCAACGTACCTCGTCCGTCGGTCAGTACCATCAACACGCTCTACCTTCTTACGCACATCACTAAGCAGCCTATGCAAGTCCTTTGCCGCAAGCTTGCTTTTTAAAGATACCCTGCACCATAATTAGCAGTCCATCTCTCTCTCTCTCGAGAAAGCTCACCCATCAAAAACCTCTTCGACACCCCTCCTCACCCTCTCACCCACATCCTTCCATCCAACATGCAACAACCACCAACTAAGCGTCAGATACTTACTCTCGACCTCTTCACTAATCCCTCCTTCCTCCCCTTCCCCCTCCATCTCCGTCCCGGCCATCAAATCCTCTAACGCCCTCCCACCCCCCAGCAAAATATTGCTCATCGTCAACTCTGCAGCTAACCTCTCCCTTAGACGCTCTGACCGTTCCTGCTGCAACACCGAGTGCACATACTTCGTGTGAGCGAGAATAGTGAGTTGGATAGTGGTAAGCAGGGTCAATAGTGTTGTTGAGTAAAGCGTCGTTAGCGTACGCGTGAAGGCTGCAAAAAGAATATTGTAGAACAGAAAACTACGAACAAAAAAAGGCGTACTGAGCATTTTGACTTCATTCCATAACTCAGTTTTGGTTCTTGGGCCACTGAAGTCCGAAGCGCTGATCATACTGTCCGACTAAAATAAAAACCCCAGCATCAGCCCTCAACTGAAATCATACAATAAAGGAAAAACGCACCAATCCCGAATCGGCCACAGAAGAATTATCACCCGAATCATTCGTCAAAACCCCGAGCGACGACTGAACCTCAATTATCGACTCGGACGACGCGGCGAGCAAGTGGTGTCCGGGCGGAGAAGACGACGACTCCGTAACCACAATGGAGGAGGACGACGCCTCGATCCAGCTCGTCATACTCGTCGCCATATCCCGCTGGCCCTCATCAACCACCACCACGGACCCAGCATCCGAGCGCGTTTCCTGCAGTTCTTGGTCGACGTTATGAACAACATCAATGCTCGAAGCAACACTCGACGGCGGCCGCTCTATCAGCCTCCCTTGCCGCACCCTCGACCGAGCTTGTAATTCTCGAGTCAACGCCTCGATATCCATACCCTCGATAATCTGTTCCGCAAGGTCCGGAATGAGAGCAAGGATCATATACGACACATCTTCCTGTGTCTGCGCGAACCTTCGCTTCAAACTACCACTTCATTAGCCCCTCACTCTTTAGATAGTTCAGAATAAACCTGAGCACATACGTCTCGCGCGCGCTTCTCTCCTGCTCCATGCCATCTTTGACCTCTTCCAGCCTGTCATTGAAGTATCGTTTTGCGATATAAAGGCCACCAACGCAGAAGGCTGTTATAGATAGGCCTTTCCGGCGGTCGTAGATGTACGTTCGTACTGACTCTAGCATTTAGTTCATGATACTAGACGACAAGGCTTGAATCAGGAAACCATATCCGGCAACTTCGGGCCTACGGCGGAAAGCACATGTCTCCATGAGATGTTGACCTCCTCTCTTTGTGCTCACTGGAGGAAGGGTTGTCAATGTCCCATGGCTTAGTTGGTTACGGCGTCCGACTGTCATAATATGAGGTTAACAGCATTTGTGACATCGGAAGATCGAGAGTTCGAGTCTCTCTGGGACAGTGAAAATGTTGGTGATATTTTTTCCAATCAATTCTTGTCTCAAAAAGTTTTGTCAAAAAGTAGCCACCACTCAACCACAACTGCGGGGATGAATTATCGTATATTGTCTGAACGTAAAGTAGTGACTACATATGCTTCCCCCATCTTCTTTCCTGGGTGGAGACAAAATCTAAAAGTATCATACAAACCACTATGTGGGACTGTCCCGATATCAATGACGACGTTACATCGCATAACCAGGTGATCATGAACGGTACCCAAAGAGAATCCAAAGCTCAGCTGACAATGAGAGATGAAGGCACCAAAACAAAAATAGGTGCCAATCCAAACGTTAATCGGAACCTCCTTCCAGTGCCTTGACAATGCCGAACGCCGCACCAGCCGCGATACCTCCGACCATAAGTGTGGTAACTGCGCCCCACACGTACCCACCAGCCCCGGTACCAGCACCCGTTACCCGGGCCTTGACAGCTCCAAAGATGAGGAGAACGATGCCAGTGACAATGCACGAGTAGACGAGTGCTATGTGCGCTTTGGGAATGAAGAAGTAGGGCAACAGGGGGATCACACCGCCAACGAGGTATCCCATCCCAATGGTAAGTGCTGAGACGTACATCCGCCGGTCCGGGATTTCCTCTACGAATCACACATCAGCTCAGAGCGTTTTCTGATGTGAGGAAGAGTACCGTACCCAGGCCTTGACCAAACTTGAGCAAGAAAGCAGTCAAACCAACCTCCTTGCTCCACCTCAACCTCGAGGCTTCCACGTCGCTGCCCGAACCCCGAGTAGCAAACCCTTCATCATTCACCTCAACCTCCCTAAGACACGACGCAACAGATCGGCACGTCTTATCATCAACACCAACCGGTCCAAGCACTTCAGCAACCTCGCGCTCCATCTCACCAGCGCAGCTCTTCACCACGCGTTCCGCAGTTTGGTGATGGAGGTAGCGGTAGTGGTCGCGCTCAGCCTGCGAGGCAAGGAAGCCACCTATACCCATAGAAATAGCGCCCGCAATCAGTTCAGCAATGCCGCCGAGCACAACAAGTTTTGATTCCCCTAGAGAAGAAAGTCCAGCCGCAAGCGCAAACGGCACTGTGAGGCCGTCTGAGAGTCCGATAACACTGTCAAGTTTTGCGTTTAAGAGCTCGCCGAAACCCAATTAAAGTGTAAAAAAACGTACACATCCCGCACAACATCGGGGTCTACTAGAGTACGTTGCTCAGTGATGAGTTCCTTGCAGCAAACGCCGTTTTCCCGCTCAACTCGATCGCACTTTGCTGTTATGGGGGTAGACACGCCCGAGTGGGCTGTGAGGGGCCACACAGGTGGTTTTTGGAGCTTGCTGGGGGCTTGTTCGCGGGGAGGCAAAGGTACAAGGGTGGGGGCTGATGAAGTAGAAGAATCTGAACTTGAGGACATGGTGGTGCACTCCAAACCTTCAATATTGCTTCAAAGACCGGTGACACACGCGTCACGGACCGAAATCATCACGTCATCAGGGCATAGTTACACAAGAAAAATTATTGTACATGGGTAGTAACAAATGATACACCAAGAAGCATCACTAGACTTTGGCAGTAGCAGGCGTAGCAGTGTCAGATGTCGTTGGGTCGCTAGATTTGGCGGCAGTGGTGGCCGTGCTGGTAGTTCCTGTGGTGGTCGTGGAGGTGGGCGCCGCGACTGCATGAGAAGCCGCCGTGGCTACAGCATCAAATTCGTCATCGGGAATGAGGAATCCTGGGGGAAGCTGGTCAGGGAGGGGCTGAGTCACGTCCGGATCAGTAAACTGCATCATGTACCCCAAGATCTATGCAAGAGACGTCAACACTAACAAGAGGGATACAAATGTGGGCAATTACCTGGGGACCTGGAATGCGAATGATAAAACCGTCTTCGGCTTGCGTATAGGAATATGTCTTGCTGGACCCTTGGTCCTGGTGAGTTGAGCTGGTGGACCAGCAGAGAATGCCACCCGAAGATGCACTAGCGTTTTCATAGGCCGAACCCTTGGATGCAACGTCAGTCGCCGATAGCGCGACCTTGATAGTAATGTCCTACGCATGAGAAGAAGAAAAAATTAGCGGAGGATAGTGAGGTGATAGAATAAAGAAAAACCAACCTTGCAGAAGAGGAAACCGGCTGGGAATGTGGGAAAGAGATACTTATTAATCTTATCAAAAGCACCACTAGATGCACCCTTAGTTCTCAAGTCATCGATAGTTTTAATATCCGCAGGCCACTTGGACCAAGAAACGGTGTCGTCGATGTGGTAGAAACCGTTTGATTGCTTGAAAAACTGAGGTTGGAACCAGCCTGAACGATCGACAGTTACCAAGGTGGCCCGGAAGCCAATCTGAACCGTAATTGACGAGTCTGCTGAGAGGGAACTAGAGGATGAGCTCGCGCTGGAGGATTCGCTGTGGTAGGAGCCAAAGAAGAAATTGCAATCCGATTTGGAGGTATTCGCCTCGCTAGACTGACTACTCGTGGAGAACGTGCTCGTGACAGTGTGGTTCATGAGGAATTCTTGCCACCTGCTGCCGCCCGATGTCTTCTCTGCAGGAAGAATATCAACATCATTAATGGAGGCAATCTTCGCATTGCCCATTGGCGTCAGGTTGGTCGGAGCAGGAACCGCCGTGGTGGCATTGTCCTTGTACCGCAACGCCTTTACACGAGCGGTGAGTTCGGCAATGTCCTTGTTAAGTGAATTGATCTGGGTGGTGATCAAAATCGTCTCATTTGTGGTGTCGGTCGCCTCAGCAAGAACCTTCGCTGACAGCAAACGAGTGTATGCACGAGAAGCTTGAGTAACAGAGAGCTGGGCTGAGGTGACTTTGCCCATTCCCTCTTGTATGTTGGTAAAAGCAGCATCAGCAATCCTGGCAGTCTTGGCCGCTTTGGTAAAATCGCTCATGACGAACTCATTGTTGGCGTTGATGCAAGTCTGGGCAAGTGAGATAACGTTGCTTGTGTAAGTGGTCGACAGCTCAGCTTGAGCTTTGTCATAAGCCGACTCTGCTGCGTCAAGCTTGTCCTGCAGGTCCTTGAGATCAGTCGTGGGGCTGTGCTGTATGATGGCAAGGCGTGATTGAAGAATGTCAAGAGCTTTCGATTTGGCATCGATTTGTTGTTCAATCAAGTCGGGGTCCGCGGTGAGATCCTCCATGGTAAAGTTGGTGTCAAGGCTTTGATACCAATCAATAGGTTGCATCTGAACAGGATAAACCTTCAAGCTTCCGTCCAAGGAGCTGGTGGCAGACTGGCGAAGGGCATCCTTAGCGTCCTGCAGGAATTCGGCGGCGCTTTTGATATCCATATAACCAAGGTATTGACGAATCGTATGCGAGTAACCGCGAACAACAGCATCGCCATACTTTGATGCGAGTTGAGCTTCACGAATAGGGGTAATATGGGCAAGCCGACGAGTGACATCCTCCAAAGCATCGCCCTTGGCGCTTTTGATCAAGTCGTCGCGTTCAAGCTCCCAGGCTTGCTGAGCCGTCAAGTACTCCGTCATAAGCGCATCAGAAAGCTCCATACGATTGACCTTGCTGTCGGTAGTAAGCTTGTTGGCAACTGCAAAGGCAGGCTTTGGTGTGTCGATGGAAGAGGAGGCAGTCCCACTAGTTACGCCAGCGTTGAGAGCTCGAGCGGCAACGGGTCCCCCAGCCGCAGCCGCGGTCACGGGCGTAGGCGGAGTATGCTGGGAGGCTATAAGGTCCTTAACCCAACCGGTCGCAGGTACCTCCCTCAAGAGCCAATTACGGATCTGATTTTGCTGATGCGCGAAATTAATGGCCGATGGCTGGATACCTGGCACCAGATTGTTTAGACATTGCTCGTAAACAATTGACAAGTTGATCCCGTTGGGAGCGCCGATAACGTTTCCAACGTTGTACAGTTGGTCGGTCAACCTAAATTCGCTCTCGTTAACAATCGTTGGCTTGACAAACGGGCCATAGACGCCAGCGCTAGAGCTATCCCAAGCATACTGCTCTTTAGCCAAAAATCGGCCTGGGAACTGAAGCGCAAAAATTTGACCCGAGCTGGGCGCAAACAATTCGGTGATTTTGCCGACAAGAATGTCGATGAACGGCCCAGTCGTTGGTCCCGGCGGCGGAGCGGCTCCTCGAGCCTTAAATGGTGGTTGTTCTGCGTCTGCATTCACTCCTCTCGCAGCACTAGGTGCACCGGTAGTCCCACGACTTGTAGCGAGATGTGCCAGATCAACTTTGATCATATTTCGCAGCGCTGCGATCTGCTCCGCAAATTCCGGCTGACCAGAATGGGAAAATGCAATGTTTCGCTGCTGGGCGTAGCCTGCAAAGTTATCTGACAGACCCAAAGTGTCGATGTTTGCCTTGAAGCTGTCCTTAACGTGTCCTTCGGGATAAGGATAGAGAATCTGGGAAGAGTGTCAGAATATGTTCTTAACAAAGATTCTACAAGGAACTCACCCCAATAAAGGCCTGGTCCATTGCCGAGGGAACGTGGTTATAATCCGTCGAATGGAAGTCGAAAAAGTTTTTGAGGGAATCCCAAGCACTCGTAACCTTGAGCTTCTTATCCGCGTACAACATGACCGATTTCTTGTCAAACGGCGTCGCAACCGACACGTCTTTATCCGGTTGATCTGTCGTTTCTGTGAATGGGGACACATGCTCATGCTTAAGACCAAGAGCGTGGCCGATTTCATGGTAAAGCGTTCTCTCCTCAACCCGCTTCACCCAATCACCCTGCGCTTCAGCTGCCGTTTTCGGGATAACTTTGCTCAGAACCATCGAAGATTCTACTGATCCGCCTTCCAACGTGATATCATCTTGACTTTGGCGATACTTAATGGATGTCTTGCCAACGGCAGACCAACCCGTAAACTCGCCTCCCGGAATTTCACCAAAATAAATGCGTATATCGCCTGTGGCCTTGACGGGGTCGAAAGGAACGGCGGTGAATTTGAGGTTTGTAATACCCGAGTAGTACTTGAAGGTATCGGCAATGCGTTGCTGACGATACGGCGTGGCATCTCCAGTACCCTGGATGAAAGAGTACGTGATAGTATCGCCGGGGAGCCACAAGTCCTTGTTGACCGTGGCAACGCCATGAGCAGCACCCTTGCCAACGTCATCGTCACCGAGTTGGGAAGCGCACCAGTCAACCACGACGTCATCTTCGGGGTTGACTTCGTGGCTGGGATTACCCACGGTGTCTTCACCACCGCTAGACACGCTGTTTAGACGTTCTGCCCGAGCGGCACGAGCGGTGATGCACCAATTTGTGAACTGGTATCTAACCTCAGACCAATTGGAATTTCGGTACTCTTGAAGAATCCGGTCTCTGGCAGTGCCATCAACGCCGGCAACCCCCAGAGCGTATTCGAACGTCCATACCGGATCAAGAAGAGGAGTACCGACGGGATGAGGGTAGTTGATTGTCACGTATGCCTTGTCGATGTCAGAAAGCTCATTATTAGGTTTGACCTCGATACCTTCCTCATTCATTGCCGCTGGCATAAAGTACCTGATCATGAAAACATGAGCATTGATCAAAAAGTTCACGATGAGACTGACATCATGATAGATTTCAGATCGAGCTCGGAGAAATTGGAGACGTCCTTCAACGCATAAACGTCGAGAATTTGATTGATGACGTCTTGCCTTGTCCATCCTTGAGTGACCGTGTAATAATCGATAACCGCTTTGAAAAGAATGAGAATGCCAACTTCAAAAGAGCGTGTCGATAGGACTTACCATCAGGCTTCAAATGGATCTTGCCACCGCGCACGGGAGATTGATGCTCATGCATCAAGCCCAAAACATGACCAAATTCGTGTAGTATGACACCTCTCTCGTTCGCGGTAGTATTGGCAACCGGAGTATCATCTAACCAGCCCAAGTTCATTGTCGGAAGTGACTGGGCAACTTTGTTAATTTCCTTTGCAACATACGCCCAAGAACCGGAACTTGGGTCGAAGGTAATACGAATATTGGCCGATTGGGGCGAATCCAGCTGAGCAAACTTGACATTTGCATACTTTGTCCATTCCGTAATGACATTGGAGACCTTAGCTCGCTGATTAGCTGTTCCGGTTATGAAACCGTAAGTGAGGGTCTGCGCGAAAAGCTATTATTTGTGCTGGTGAAAACGGTGAAATGAAGGCTCACAACGCCGTTGTCCCACAAGTTGCTGGATTTCGTAATAACAGCCCTCTGAACGGTCAAACCTAGCTGGTCAGGCGTAGATCTCATGGATTCCGCGGCGCCTTTGTCCACGGCAACTTCAGCACAAGTGTACCTAAACCATTCCTCACGTGGGGGCTGCCTGACCTCGTCCGATACAGTGGCATCGGCAGCAGCGGATGTAGGGGGGACGTCGCCGCCAATAACAACGGCGGCAGGAGGGGCATTGACGACAAGAGATGCAGTGGAGGCAGGCTGGGTACTGACGGGAAGGGAGACAGCCGAAACAGGAGGGGAACTAACGGCAGCAGAGACAGGGGCGAAAGGATGAACAACGGTAGCAGCGGAGCCAGTACTGATTGAAGGAGTAGCAATGGAGCCAGCGGAGGCGGGAGGGGTATTGACTACTGGGACAGCAGTGGAGGTAGCAGGAGTTGGCTTAACAATCTGGGGGGGAACAACAGAGGTTGCGGGAGGTGCTTCGCTCATTTTGAAACGGATTGGAGGATGGTTGGGAAGCCATATGCGCCAGGTTTTATAGTCGCATGATTCTCCTTAAGGCACTTTTCGAAGACAGAAGGAACGACGGGCGGCGGTCAGGTGAAAAACAACAATACCGCTGAGAAACTCAAAGATCTGTCAGGTTCATGAAATTGAAGTCGACATGAACCCAGTCCTCCTGCGGGATCGCGGCATCGATCCAAATTGGTCATTGACGGATTTCACGACTATATCACGGCGCCCAACGACCTATAGAAACCGTTAGCTGACTGCTGGAATGGTAGAAAAGTCGTGCCTTGCATCGGTGCTACAATTGTGCCAGATTGTACCTCGTGGGAAGCGTCAAAGCCAACGCAAAGATACCGTGGGTTTGGAAAGTCAAGGCGAAAGACGCAGATAGATCCCAAAAGACACTGGTTGACAAGTTTGAAATGATGATTGAGCAATGATTGAGCGCTGTCATGAGTTTGAGCCTTTGTTCAAAGTTTGAATTCCCACACGACGTCGCACCAAAAATTACGAAATAATACGAACAAAACTCTACAATATTGGTGCGCATTTCAAACACTCAAAAGTCATTGTATTAATCGTGCAGCTCTCGGCGCCCGTATACGAAGGTAGACCTTGGGTAGACCTCTTGTGGAATCCGGGTTTTTGACCCAAACAAGACTTGAAAGATCGGCCCTCCCTACTTGAGTTATTTTGGGAACAGGGCATTTTAGAAGAAAGACATACGTTCCGTGGAAGATATGTATGACATATGGTCAGCGGACCCAGAGAGCTGATGAACAAATAACCGCAAGTTCAAAACGGGATATTTCTCCACGACATCTGCAGATGCAAGGTGCGCCCATAGTACCATCCCAGTCCTTTCGTATTCACGGACGCCGGATAAACAAGGATTGATCTTTCCAATCGACCAATGCAGCACTGGGCGCTGGTCTGTAAACCGATGCCGCAGTTTTCCTAGAGGGAATACAAATGCCGCGCTACAAAGCCCCTGAGGTTTGAAAGGTATCCGTCACGCTGAATTCATGATCAAGAAGTAAATGGATTGCTCGATATTTATCCGGGTCGACAGGCGAAGGTCGGGGGCAGGAAGTTTCCTTGATACCACGGTGCCATCCCGCCCTCAGTTTACCGTTGCTGCAAAAGCTTTCTAAGATATGCTGGCCTTTGGATGCTCCAACTTGTGTTTAAAGGGTGAACAGTATTAACTCTCGCGGTCATCTGGCAAGGAATCCTCCTCAACATCCTCGCAGCGATTACGTCGGGCACTCGCCATTTGTTACATCCTACTACACCTAGCTATAGAGGTCTCCCATGTGGCCTGCTTAGCCGTGAATATTTGAAGTTCGAAGTATATTCGAATGGGCTCCTCTCGGTTTACATGTCGTGAGTCATAGAACAAAACTACGACACAGAAAGCCCTGACGTCTAGCGACTTCACAGTTCAAACAAAGTCTGATCCGACACCTTTGTTCCGTCAGTCTTGTGGATCGACCTGCCACTTGGGCACAGCCAAGGGTAATTATAAAAAGAACACATCCTTTTCCCAACTTACACCGTATATCTCGGTCATTCATGAGCAATGTCCTCCTCCCTATTCATGACGACTCGCCTTTAGTAAAGGACATGAGGAATCAGGATGCCCCTCCTTATGTCTACCTTCATTTTGCCTCTTATTTCCGAGTCTATGTTGGAGTCAGACAAATAGCAGTCCCCCAGCAGTGATTGACAATTTGCCGCTATCTCCAGTGTTCTTTGGAAAATTTGACGCTAACTGGATGGTTTTCGGGACCAATTATCTGACCACGCATGTCAATCTGTGTTTGATCTGTGTCTCTTTTCATCCAGATTTACTTTGGATTTACTTCACACATTTGTTTGAAATAAAGATATTGGGCCTAAAGCTATAATGGAAGGAACAGGCGACAAATCAAATGGGTCACAACTCATTGTCAACTTCAAACGAAGCAGGTCTCGTTTCGTCTAAGGTTCAGCTAATAAGGCCGTTAAAAAAAAATTGGAAGCTGAAAATTTTTGGCCCAAAAACATTATAGACGGCCTTCCTGATGGATAAAGTATACATAATAGATACTAGAAAGCCTCAAGGTGTGCTAAATGCCTCAGGATGCGCCAAAAACACCAATGGGACTGCTTACATAAGGCAATAATAACATGCATTGATAATTTTCGTTAGTGTGGCAACCGTCAAAGACCTTTGATTATGATTTGTTAACATATTCTGGGGCACGCAAACTCACTGTGAGATTCCACAGAACAGGACACTCATGCCGTGACTCATTCTGACACCAACGAGGTTCAGAGGCCACCTATTTCAAGCTCGGAAATTGTCAACAAGGAAACATGAGGTCAGTGTGAAAGATGAAAACGTAAGGTTGTTGACATTGGAGGATTAGAGGATTGTTTTTGTCGATCCCGAGCAGAGCTAACCACCAACAATGTGATCCAGTGGGATGTGAAACTGTGTGGATAAGTAAACCTACTTTCTGTTAGGGTTTCAACATGAAACTTACTTACATCTTCATGTCAAACCATTCTAATATCATCTCATTTGTGTTTGCCATGCACAGGTGCCCATGCATTGGGTCTGCAATGCATTTTCAATGTCGAAAGGAGGACCAGGAGCATGGCAGTGACGTCATATTTCCTAAAGTAGACATGTGCCTGATTACGTTGGGTGGTTTGTTCAGCCCAGTGCTCACTACCAAAAAAATCGACCCTAGGTCTTTTTAAAAAATCCCGACACCCCCTTGAGCTAATAATATGTAGCCGGGATGGGTAGGTCATCTTCTGCATATTCCAAAGGATCAATCCACTCATGAATTCGATGCTCTCGTGCCCAGTCACGTAGCTTGACGAAATTCTTGCATGTGTGTGCCTGTGTGCTGTATCCAACTGTTGGAATAATACTGTAGCATTTCATTCAATTCGACAGGGCCTGTGATGTGTGACAGGCCTGTGGTTTCAACAACCACATAAATTTGCTGTGACAAGCCGAAAATTTGGGCAAATTTTCGACCACTTAGCGCCGGAGGCCACAAATCTTTTTGACATTTATCACATGAGTGCCAGATGATTTCGACACCTTACAAAAATCTGTGTGACCACCATGACATTTCAGCAATTTGAAGGGCACTGTGACGCGTGACTGTCGAATTGAATGAAATGCTACAGTACCCTAGTATATGGTCAACTATTTCACAGACTTTGTAGATAGATTGAGAATACTTAATTACTAAGCCCGAGGACTGTTGAAATCGACTCAGCAAGTGCGTGTGATCAAGGCAAGGTGGGGAATAATATTCCGGTTGTCTCTGGGTGACAGAGGCAAACAGATCAGGACAGACAAGAGTCGACACACACACACAGAAATGAGACACGACACGCGTGATGGAGAACGACACACCTGTCCAATGTTCAACACATTTGATGGCAAATGTTGGTCACTTGCTCAGGAAGGTGTGTCGAATCTTATCTGCATGATACCATACTATCTCGATTGATTCCGCCCTTTTTGGATTATCAGAAAATGAAAATTTGATGGGTGATGGAAATTAGCTATGTATCATACACCAAAGATTCTGTGGTTAAGTCAAAATCTGCCTCTCCATGCTCAAGTAAAATTTAGGATTATAAGTTTTATTCCTTAAACTACTTACTATACAAAGTTATACATAAATTCTAAGAGAGGGAGCAACCTCATGACCCTGGAATGTATGCACCAAGAATCCTCACTGTCGACGGCCTAGTATCAGCGCATCTGGGTGTCAGTATGTAGTCTTGGTGGCCGTGGTTGGGCGGGATGCAGTGGTGGCCTCATCACAAAGGGTGCTGGCATTTTTGCTGTCATTTGGGGTTGGTTAGTGGGGAGGTGTGGGGTACACACCTGGCTGCATGGTGGGTGCCGTATCCCCTGTTGGTTTGCCAAGTGGCACTGGGTCCTCGTCAATGGGCCTCAGCGCTGGATTCTGTCTGTGCAGGCATTTTCATGGGCCGATTCTGTCAGTGTGGGTGGTTTATCCTGGGCGCTGGGTTGTTGCTGTTGGTAGATGGATGGTTTTGTGGGTGTTTTCATGGGTGATTAGTCATAATCTGAGGGTTGGGTTTGTGAGAGGGGGTTGAATTGGGGGGAGTGGTCACGTTTGCTGTGGCACAGGGTGTGGGAGGTGATGGTGGTGGGTTGTTAGCAAAAATCCGGGGCTGAACAAAGTGGAAACCACCTGAAAGAGCCCATGACCATTCTCTTGGTCCTTGTCAGCCATAGTGAGGGTGCAAGATGGGCAGGAAGAGAGCGAGGGGGGTGGTGGGGCACAGGCAAGCAAATGGCGGTGGTGGTGATGAGAAAGTGGTCGTGACCAAGTTGTCACAGCGATCATCACGCTCATAACTTGTGCCGAAGTTTCGAATTTATGCATGGCACACTCGAAAATGCGAAATCACAAAGAACGACACATTGTTACCAGGTGTGTCGCTTCTCACATGATGTGTCCTACTCCTCATCTGTGTGTGTGTGTCTCCTCTTGTATATCCTCCAAACAGATGGGTAACTACAGTACAAGACTTCATATATATATTGTAGACTACAAAATATAAGGGGATAAATGCAAAACACCCCTAAGAATGCATGGAAACAATCAATGGAAGAAATGTACCTGAAATCAAGTGAAATCCGAAGATGGGGCGCATTGCACATGCTTGTAAAGCTCCTGAAATTCCAACAAGGACATCACCGGAGGTCTTTACCTTCCCCGGGTTAATCCATATGGAATCCATGTGGAATCCATGGAATCCATCAGCCATTCCATGTGGAATCCATGGAATCAATCTTGGCTGAGATCACTGCCAATTTGTTGTTCCATGGACATCATGGGTTCCATGTGGAATGATCATGGAATGGTCATGGAATGGTCAATTCCATATGGAATCCATTGCTATTCCTGGATTCCACTGAATTCCATATGGAATTTAGGCATATCCACATTGGATTCCATGGAGCATTCCATATGGATTCCATGGAAGACCAATATACAGTTGAGTGCAAAAAGAATGAAGGTTGGTTCATTTTTCTGGTTCTTTCTAAGAATCTATTGTACCTCAAATGTATTTGTGTATTCTTTTACATTATGTAGTTGTGTTACACTTCCCTTGGTATGGACTAATTTCAGTGAAAGCTGGAGCCTTGAGAAGGTTTTTATTCTGGAGACCATTTTTGGCATCTGAAAAAAAAAATATGCGCTAACTGGGGAGGTAGCCAGAACATACCTCTGGTCAACCTGAATGAGCCTATCAAAGAATTAGTCAAAAATACTGAGTGGTTAGGTCTGTAGAGGCTTGAA